GCCTGAGTCACGATTCTACAATTCGTTGTTTTGTTTTTTTTCGATTCGAGATCGAAATGTTCTCGCGGTTTTTCCTCGATACAGCGTGCTCGGTCTTTCCGTGAAACAGGTATCGTACCGGTTCGGTGAAAGTAAAACACGATCGAGGGAAGCACGTGGCACGGGTGTTCGCGGGAAACCCGTAACAAAACAACATTCACGCGACGAGAGCTCGCTGCTCACTGACGCGACGACGCCTCGCGGGGTGGCCTTACCCCTCCTTCGTGCAGCTCCCGCTACCCCCACCACTCGGCCACTCGCGCTCGTGGAAATAACATAACTCGTCCACCGCGCCTAGCGATGGCTTCGAATTGTTCGAATAAATCGGAACTTTTTTCTTTTTTTTTCCACGCTCTTTCCGGTTTTTTTTCGGGAGAGAGAGAGGCGGGAGGCTGTTCATCAGTGTCACGGGGGAATGACGGGAGAAGATAGCGATAGCTTGGAGAAACGAGGAGTAGAGATGAGACTATTTACTTGTTAACCCTTTCGCATCTTTTTGTAGGTAGGTTTTTTTTGGGTGATTATAGCGGTGAGTGATAAAACTTGGTTTTTGTGATCGTTTCGGGAATTATGCAGGGATAGTTGATTAGTTATTTTGTGGAGTGAATCTGTTGAGATAGGGAATTGGGTAAAAAAGTAATGCGTAATAGAAAGGTTTGGGCAGTTAATGAGATGTGTAGAGAAAGAAGAGTAACACGAGTAGTGTGCGATTATGGATGAATTACTGACATTAAGGGATTGATGTAATTCTGGAGATGAAAATTTTGGGAATTTTCGGGGGAATATTTATTTTAATTAATTTCTAAAGTTTTGGAAATATTGATTTTAACTAATTTCTAAAATTTCACCTAACCTCCAAAGTTGTGGAAATATTAATTTCACATAACCTCCAAAATTTTGAGAATAATTAATTTCCCAAATTTTCGAAAAATAAATATTTACTGATTTCACTTCGTTCCAAAAATCTCAGAAACATTAACTTTCCAAAACCAGAAAAGACGTAAAAAAAAAAGAGAAACTCAATCCGAAAACAACACGAAACGACTTGATCAGAGAATCTCGATCGTTGATATCGCGAGTAGGTTGGTTCCGAGCGCGTAATTAATACCTCGACACGACTGGTAGCATGTTATCGAGAATAGTGACAGCTAAATACAGTCTAGTATGAATAACTCGAGTTCGATGACGATTCTTAGCGATGGAATGGCGGATCGAGCGGCTGCCAGTAAATGCAAACGACTTGACCCGACCAGCGGAAGATCGGAACGAGACAAGACACGTACCCGGTGATCCTGTCCCTCTCTGACTCGAGTTACACCGCTCTCGAGACTGGTGCAAGAGTGCACGAGCTACAGAAAGGAACGTGCAAGATCAAGCTCCCTGTACGGTTGCAAATTCAATTATACGAGCTGGCCATTAAATGCCGCGTGATCGAGATGCCTCGTCCCTCGTCTTTTCCACTCCAACGTTACGTGCGAATCCCGACCACTCACGGTCGTAGACACTCCTCGGGAACAATTTTACGTACCTTTTCTAGATCATTTTCCGAGAATTTTAATTCGGGTCGTGTAAACTATTTTGTTTCGCTTTTTCTTCGTTTTGTAGTTGATCATTGGAAGAGGATAATGAGCACGGTTAAAACTGGAATGATAAGCGGTGCAAAGAAGATATGAAGGGTTGAGTTTAAGAGAAGAAATTTGATGGAATTCTTATTTCGACGTTTCAAGATAAACATAAAATTGGAGATTTTTCTGCGAATTATTCATTCTTGCCTTTCGAAAATTTCAACGTGGAAATCACTTTCCCGGAAATTTTCTGTTAAGAGATTATTTTACAGGGAAATTTCAGAAGAGAAGAATATATCGGAATTTTTATTTGGATATTTGGAAAGAAATACAAACTTCGAGATTTTGTTGCGGATAATTTCTCTCGGAAATCTCTGCATGGAAATCTCTTTCTGAACATTTTTTCAAAAATATCTATTCAGTGGCCAAATTTTCTAAAGATTCTCGATAAGAAAAAATGTCAAACAACGATCATCGACGAACATTCCTAAAATTACAACGAAATAATTGAACAATCTTGGACGTCCGGACGAAAGGAAAGATAATTTTCTGAAACGAGCCACGTTAACCGGA